GAGAAAGCACAGCCTGTGCTGGAGCACAGTTACTCTGGATCTTTGGGGAAGGTCTGCTAGGGAGACATGGGCAGCATACGGTCACTCAGCAGAGTGGACTGCCACTGCACTTCAGCGCTTGCTTGAGCTGTGCTTTGTCCATTTTCTGTGACACTCAGTGAGTGCTCTTCCTGAACTAAAGGACTGCATAATGTGCCTTTGCAGGTGACATGGAAGTGAGCCATTTTCCCAGATGTGGTAGAATCCTTGTCTGCTTGGAAAGACCCAAATTTCTCTTGTTTTTTTGCAAATAACATGCACCTGCCTTTGATCTCAGTACTTAATGTCTGTGTGAAACTGCTAAAAATCTTTTGGCATTTGACATTTCTCTTTAGAGCTACTTTGCTGTGATACTACTTGTAGAAACGGATGTAGAACACTGTGTCTGTTGTAACCTTTGTAAGAATGAGGTCTGTATTCCAGATCAGCTTTAATATTAAAATCCCTGGAGGCTACATAGTGTGGACATTGGTAAAACCTTACTGGTAAAATAATATCGTAGTATATATCATTGTACAAGTTTCAGTTATAAAAGCATCAGGAGTTAAAAGAGACATGCGTGTTTCTTCTGATTGTTACTTAGTAATGCAGTTCTCTTTCCCTGGTTACACGTTCCCACCATGGTGCAATTTCTGGCTGTGTGGACTGATTTTCAGGTCAGCCCCTTGGATTTCTGACTGACGATCCTCCCTGCTCCAGGGATCTTCCCACATAGAGGAGCAGGTGTGCACCCAAGCTTAGATGTGGCTTCATTGCAGAGGAAGGGGGGGTTAGTCTGTGCCCCATGTGTGTGGTGCCCCATCCTCATGCCCACTAGAAAGTGGTCTGGGACTCCTGCAGGTGGAGACAATAAGGGGCTGATGTCTCAGCACCCATGCTCATATGACCCAGATTCTATTGTCTAGCCATGTTCTAGACCATCACTGGACTTCTTAAATATAGATGAAATCGATCTCTGAACCCAGAGCAGACTGGGAGTGTAGGGTGGGCTGAATCTGCTCTGCTCGGGTAATACAGAAGGTTATTGCTATGCAGGAGGGTGACGCCGCAGACTGGGCGGTCTGTAGATCACAGGTGCCTGTGTCTGCAAGGCATGCAGGGGTTGCCTTTAGGAAATCCCACATTTACCATGTTATCTGCCATGACCTGAATGCCCCCCACACTCATGTTGGAACCTAGCCGTCACTGTGGTGGCACTGGGAGGTGGGACCTTCAAGAGTGGTGTGGCCACAGACTCTGACGTCAGAGTGGATCAAAGCTGACATCCCAGGAGTCACTCCTGATAAAGGAAGAGCCAGCCTTATCCCAGAAGACTGTCCCCAGATGCAGCCACAAGTAAAAAATAAAATAAAAGTCTCTGTCTCTGCATCTCTTGTCCCCCCATTCCCCGCCATCTAGTTGGACTATTCTGCAAACCATCTTGACAAACTACCATATTTCTTTACAGAGTGTCTGGCAGGCATTGTTCCTCTGTAAATCTAATCAAATTCAACAGTCTGCTCTTTAATGCACCCAAAGCCTGTTCCTGATTGAGTGAGGGTAGCTGTTCTTATTAGGCCTCTCTTTCTCTTCTGTGTCCTGTGCTGGCAGCTGACTTTCCTTTCTGGGCCACCTTCCACTTAGGAGGTAATTGCATTTAGATTTATTTTTGTATCAAGTAAAAAGCAACTAAGAAATTGTGATTTCCACACTGGGTGACTGACCAGGCTCACTGCTTCCCACGCCAGCCTCCAGTGCATGTGATTCCAGCAAACACGTCCCCACATCACAAGCCTGGCCTATCATCAGAGAGTCCATGCTGTAGATGTTAAATCCATAGACACCCCAATTCCACTTTCGTGATGTTTGATTCAGGCTCCAACAAACCCTTGCTGCTCTGACCATGCTGCAGGCAACACAGGGGTCCTCACTTCTTCCCATGTGTCTGCACAGGCACCCTGCTGCTGCTCAAACCCCCCAGCTCTCCTGAGCCATCGCTTCTGTCACCCATTTCTCTCTGGCCATTGCACCAGGACTTTGAGTCCTCTGGGCACTGCCTTTCAGCTCCTTCTCATCGCTGCTTTCTGACAACCTTGAGTCTAGTCTTCATGAAAGATCAGCTCGTGTGCTTCTCACTGTGCCTCCAACTCCTGACTGACTGGTGCCTGCAGAGTCCATGCAGAGGGCTGCTCAGCATCTCAGCCTCACAGCTTCTCCATGTCCCTCTAGTCACCTCCCTCCTTCCAATGGGTCAGGTACTTGCTTCTGAGCTGCTCCCTGGGTATCTGTTTTCTGTTCCCATCACTGCAACCCTGTCAACCTGCACTCAGCTTTCTGCTCCTCCACATGAAAGCTCCTGTGATGTTAGAGCCCAGGCATCGAAAGCTTGAGACAGACGCACCTCCTGAGCACCACCCCCCACCAGTTCTCCACTCCTTCTCTGTCCCAGGCATTGAAGATTTCCTGTTCTTTCCAAAAAGCTCGGCTTTTATGGCACATTTTATCCAGCATTCCTAAGTATTTGACCCAAAATGTTTTCCAAATAAAGGGTTCTGTATTAACTATGCATTCTTAACTTTTTGAGCTTCAAGATTTAGAGCATGAGGCTGGGCGCCAGTAGCTCAAGCCTGTGGTCCCAGCTACTCAGGAGGCAGAGATCAGGAGGATTGAGGTTCAAGACCAGCCTGGAAAATAGTTCCTGAGACCCTAGGTCAAAAATACCTAACATAGAAAGGGCTGGTGGAGTGACTCAAGTGGTAGGGTGCCTGCCTAGCAAGGGTGAGACCCTGAGTTCAAACCCCAGTACTACCAAAAAAAAAAAAAAATTGTGAGCATGAGGTGTTTGTTGGGGTAACTGAATATTTTTCTATGTAGAAATTGAACAGCTTGCTTTTCTTTTATTCAGCAAGTTATGGTTGATTGATGGACCACTCTTTGGCCAAGTGTGGCAATGGTGCAGTCTGACAGCAGTTAGCATGTGAAGGACAGCCAAGCAAAACTGTGCCAAAGCCCCTCTCAGCAATGTGAGATTTGGTCCCTGGATCACATAATTTGAGAAGCCTGTTTTTCTGTGCTCCCATGTGCAGAAACATTTCCTTCTGTATTAGACATAATCTCCAATCTCTCTCTCTCTCTCTCTCTCTCTCTCTCTCTCTCTCTCTCTCTCTCCCCCCCCCTCCCCCCCCCCCCCCCCGCCTCCCTCCTGTCTCTCTTTGATGGTTCTAGGGTTTGAACTCAGGGCCTTGTGCTTTCCTAGTTAAGTGCTCTACTACTTGAGCCATGCCTCCAGACTTGCTGCTTATTTTTATTGTAAAATATACATAACAAAAATGTACATTTTGTACATCTTGTTCAATGACATCAAGTTCATTCACAGTTTTTGCTGGTGCGATGGCTCACGCTTGTAATCCCAGCTACTTGGGGAAGCATAAATAGGAGGCATAAACCTGAGGCTGTGTTTGAAAAGTAAGTAATGCCTTGGACTGCGGGCATGGCTCAAGTGGTAGAGCCCCTGTCTAGCTCAGTACCACCAAAAAAAAAAGTACATTCACATTTCTAATACAACTGTTACCACCATCCATCTCTTGAACTCTTTCATCTTTTCAAAGTGATACTCATTGCCATAAAACAGTAGTTCAGCACCACCCCTAGCCCCTGGCAATACCCACCCTACTTTCTGTCTGTAATCCAGCTATTCTAGGGACCTCTCATAAATGGAATCATCAATATTTGGTCTTTTGTGATCAGCTTTTGTCACTTTCCTCATGATTCATCTGCTGTAGCAGGTGTCAAATTCCTTTTTAACACTGAGTAATATTGCATTGTATGGATGGACCACATTTTGTTTAACCATCCATCCATCGGTGGACCCTTGGGTTGCTTCCCACTTTAGCTGCTGTGAATAAGGAATGATGCTGGTGTGAACATGGATATTGCATGCTTTGAAAAATGCAGCAAGAAGCATAAAACCATTGGTCTTTTAAATGCTGACTTAATTCTAATAGCACTATTGTATGAGTTTAATTGCCCATAATGTTTGTATATTATGAAGGAATCAACAGGCTTAGTCTCTGAGTGGTGGTTGTAGTTCTTAGAAAGGGGGATAGCGCTAAGCCAGCACCAGCAGCTGTCTCAGCTTAACTGGGAGAAGGAGGTGCTTGATCTGATCTGAGAGGTTATGTGGAGGTGCAGATGACAGAGCCAGGAGTACAGAGCAGGGCCTTATATGGCCACAGAATGATGGCAGCCCCAGGCTGGCTGTTGGGACCAATGCAAGGAGGGGCTCATAAGTTGAGTCCAGGGTGGGGAGCTGGCAGTGAGCTGCTCCCAGGCTGAGGAGAGCGATCATTCTAGCTAAAGAGGGTAATGTGGGGTCCCCAGTGCTACCTTACTCATTCACAAATTCCATCTTGGAAATAATACTGAGTTACATGCATGACTGCGAATAAAGAAGAAATAAAGGACGCCTTCCATACTGAATCAGACTAATTTCGCAGTCAACCCACCTGAGCATGGCCTGAGCTGTACTCCCAGAAGTTACAATTGGGGGAAGAGACTCAACCCTGCAGATCTTCTGTGCAGGAACTCACCTGTGTTTAGAAAGAAGAAAGAGGCAATCTCTCAGGGTCTTCCAGGCCTACTCTTTTCAAAGAAATCACTTGAAATTTCTAGGCTTATTTTGCCAGTGACTGTTTGCAGAGTGGCTAGCAGGGATAAGTGTTACTCATTACAAGAGTGTTTCCAGCCTTCCAGCTTCAAAGGGTGTCCAAACAGCACAGTTTAGAAATCTTCTGAATTAGCATATAAGTGAAATAGCAGAAATACTTAAATGTGGAAAGTAAGTCAAGTGTATCATTTTCACAGACTGTTCAGTGACCTGTTATGTTAATAACTAAGGTTTCATTAAATTTTATAATTGTAGTCTGAGTAAATTCATAGCATCCATTTTAAAGTACTTCTCACAGTATCTCTTTGTCTTTCAGATTTCTTATTCAAGTTCTTGGTTATCGGAAATGCAGGAACTGGCAAATCTTGCTTACTTCATCAATTTATTGAAAAGAAATGTAAGTGATACCAAATGGCCACTCATTCTTTCATGACGTCTATGAACACACTCAGGGCTCAGATTTGCTGAGATTCGAACTCGGGTCCTCCCGCCCACCAGCACACCTGCCCAGCGCCCTAGGCCTTGAGCTACCCCACCCGATAGGGCTCAGATTTGCTTCCTGGAAAACATCTGAATTTTTTTCCAGGGAAGAAAGTTGTAGCTTAGTTGTGTGATTGAGTTTCAATTTTAGCAGTTCAGAACTCAGTGAATTTTCCAGATGCTGCGAGATATTAAGATGATGGCAAACAAGCAGCAGGCACCCTGTTTCCTGGCGGAGCAGCCAGGTGTGTCCTTGATAATAGCCACTCCTGCCCATGGTGGCCTCATAGTGCTATGGAGGCCATTGCTGCCCTCGGTCCTGGCTCACCAGCGGGGCAGTCAGTGGCCCTTGGGGAAAAGGAGTCACTTTGCCATGGTTGCTGTGGATCACAGTGCCTGCATGTCGATGTCAGCGACTACCGTTTGGGAAAGAGGGGCTGGATCTTTCTTTCAAGCTGTTTGGGACCTTGGAAGACTAGAAGTCTTCTAGGTTCAAAAGGCCCTGAAAATCAGCAGTGCTGGGATCATAATGTAGAGAAATGTGCAGACTGACCTGCCAAGAAGGGGGTGAATCTAATTAAGATATATAAGCATTTTTGCAAATGTCAAAATGTATCCCCCCGTACAACTATAATATGCTAATTTAACAAAAAAAGAAAACAGAATGACCTGCCAACTCAGTAGCAGTCGGGTGATGGCTCAATGCAGAATGGACTTGATTTAATGAAGCATACCTCACACAGCTCCTTAGTTGCTGGTAAAGGGGGAAGTACATGGTCCAGAACATCTGGCAGAGCATGGCGGGGGAAGAAGAGAACCCTGGAAATTTCTTCTGCTGCTTCTCTCTCATCAGTGGTTCTCCTTCGAAGCCTCTGGAGGCCCCTGACCACTCCCACTGCTGTAAGGGGAAGGCTCCTTTCCCTGTGATGTGTCACAGCCAGGATGTCCCTGGCCTTTAGTTGTCACATCTGTCCCCAGGGCAGCTGGATGGTCAGTGCAGCCTCTCATCCCTCGCCCCAGCAGACATTGTTGCCAAGTGGCATTTCTGAATTCTGTAGCAATTAAACTTTGTTCCCCAGTTATGAAACATGAACCTGTCCATGGCCATGTGGCCATGGTATTGATTTCAGTTCATCCCTCATCATCATGGAAACTTCCTGCAGATGGTGTGTTCCAGCTGGGTTTAGAACAGACAGTATTAATTTCTTCAACAAATTCATTCCAGGTTTTTGCAGTGCAACGCTAGAATTCATGAACACTCAGCACCTGTAATACACATAGGAAAGGAGGATAAAACAGAGCTCCCAAACCCCCAAACAAATCCCAAAACAAAACCCCAGGGTATTATAGGAGATCTTTGGTGTCTCTGTACCTCCTGGCTGGCCACAGTGCTCTTCTTCCTCTGCTCTCATTTCTTCAGAGTAACTAACTGTCCACTCCAGTAATTGGAACGGTGACCACATCATTACTGACCTAGCACCTGGCCTCTTGCCAGGCACCACACCTTGCAGAATGGTGCGCTGGTATCATATGTCACCAGCGAGTCCTTGAAGTTGATCGTCAGATGCCTCTGGTTTAGGACAGGCACCTCTGTCAGATATGCCATGTGTTCAAGGGCTTGGAAGAAAATCTTTAGAGTGTGCCTGAGAATAGGGACTGTGTTTTACCTGAAAGCAAGTGGTTCTCATCAGCAGCTGGGAAGAAGTGAACGTCAAAGCAAATCATGTTTTCTGTTGGCATAACCCTTGATTTTATTGTTACCTATTTAACATGAGTCTGTTACCTAATGTTCTAAAATGAAATACCTTGTTCTTTGCTTTTCCTTTTTAGTCAAAGATGACTCTAATCACACAATAGGAGTGGAATTTGGTTCAAAGATAATAAATGTTGGTGGTAAATATGTCAAGTTACAGATCTGGGACACAGCAGGACAAGAGCGATTCAGGTAGCCTTTTCTCTTAGTTAATAAAAGTATTTAAAATGGATTCCAAATAATTGATTGTGTTCTCTTACTGTGTAGACTGTCACCTCCCCTAACCTGCACTGAGTTCAGAAACTCCACCTCACAAGACAGCACTGATGAACTGCAGACTCTGAGTGAGGCCGACTTGCAGTCGGGGATGTGTCCACATGTGCTTTTAGCTGAAATCAAGTCAAAGCAGTGGCGCAAATGATTTTTTATGTATCTCCCTTCTGAAGAGGAGTTTTAAACCCTCTTCTGTGTTGTGTTCTGCTTATTTACACTAACTGGGTCATGGTCTGGTAGCCGACGTGCATCCTACAGGACATTCTGTCCTCCACGCTCTGCTAACGGTTCAGTCACAGTTGGTGCTCAGAGTGGGGACTGCAGATCATGCAAACGAGGTTGCCTGGTGGCCTCCTGTTGCCGTGAAAGCAAGACAGCACCAAGTCAAAGCAAATGCCTTGGTTTCACCCCACTTCAGACTTTTCATGTTTTAATTAAAGTTGGGTATAGCCAGGTGCAGTGATGTGCGCCTGT